TATTTCTCCCCTGCTAAGCCTTGGAGGATATCAGCTGACTCACTGCCCTCAATCTGGTTTCCATGCTTTCCTGCAATTAATAGTTTTAGTCATTGAGTTTATACCTCTAACACACAAGGCTATATTCTTTTCACATGTGGTCTCATCCTACTTCCTTCAGTATGACAGCATTCTCCCTCTTTTCAGTCCTTTCATTGCTTCAGATCTGTCTGTCTTTCCATTTGGAAAGGATGAGAGGTTCCACAATTGCAGTGGCCTGTTGTTCGCTGCTCACTCTACATATCATACAACATTGAGTTTTGAATTAGCCCCTTGTTGTATTCTTGTGACCGTGGTTCCAGTTAGGGAACTCAGGATGACTGTTTAGGACCACTTGCGAGATAACTGGTCTATTGCATGGTCATTATCAGTAGCTCCTGCTTTCTGGAGTCCTGCAGGTGTATAACCTGTGCCATGTTTGCAGTGTTACTTATCCAGCTTTTTAATTATTTTGTTTTCCCAAGTTTCATACATGCATACAATGAAGTAAGGTTATCCAGCTTTAAAATTGTGTTTGTTGTGAAGTGAAACACAGTTCTACAAAGTAAATGCAGCCCACTTATTGCAACACAAGCACCTGTGTAATCTTCACTTAGAAATCGCCTCAAAAGTCTAGTCCCTGATCTCTACCACATACCTCCAGTCACCATTTCATAGGCAAGTCTTCCTCCTTAACCATACATTTCTAAGCATTCGAGGTTTTTGTTTTGTTTTTCAGAAAGCTAGTAGATATTTTTGTCCCTATCGTTTGTGAGATTCATATTACTGTGTTTGTTTTCTTTGTTTTTTAGTATTATTCCCTGGTAAGTTTATGGCAGCATGCTACAAGTTTGGATTTTTTTATTTTATTTATTATTTTTATTTTATGTGTATGAGTGTATTGCTTGCATGTATGTGAATGCACCCATGTGGTACAATGCCACGGAGGTCAGAAGAGGGCTTCAGATTCGGTTTGTAGCCGCCATGTGGGTGCTGGTAATCGAACCTGGGTCCTCTGCAAGAACAGTCAGTGCTCTTAACCGCTGAGCCATCTCTCCAGCCCCAGAAGTTTGGATCTTTACAAACACTGATGCTGTATACATTGAGTGCTGACACTCGGTGCATTTGTACTTGGATTCATCCCTAGAGTAAAATTTTTGAATTGTAGGATATGCCTGTTATATTTCATTGGAGTAGATGGTGACAGATTCATAGGAATAAATATAAATGGGTTTTCTTTACAAAATACTAGATATATTATTTTGGTTTTAGTTAAGTTTCATCTGTTCCCTCATCTTTTATAAAGTACTTGTGTTTGTGTTTGTTCATGTTTATATGTTGTTTTGTCTTGGTACTAGTTTGCAGGAGCTCTTTATATATTCTGGATAAGAGGGTTTTTTTTTTTTTTTTTGTGTGTGTGTGTGTGTGTGTGTGTGTGTGTGTGTTTGGTCAGTTACATGTATAGGAAATACCCTCCCTCCCCCAAAGTGACCCTTAATGGAGAAACAATCTTTTAAGAATTTTTCAGATTACATTCATGTTCAGTATTTCTGATGTAGTGGTTATAATCACATATAGTAGGTAGTAGCAGATTTGTCCTCAGTCTGGAATAGTGATTTGTATGTGACATGAGGCAGGAGCCAGGCTACGGTGTTTGCATGTGGGTATCCAGTTTGCTGTTGGTACAGAGGGGCAGTGCCATTTTTCCTTCACTCAAAGTCTTCCTTGGTCCCAAGTGAGCACCATAGTGGTCTTGGCACTATCTTTGTGCTGTCTTCCTTCCTTTTTGGTGATCAGTTTTTTGCCGATGTCATTCTGTTTTAGTATTTCAATCTTACTATCACGACTTAATTTTTTAAAAGTAGTTATTTCTGTAATTTGAAAGTGCCAAGTTCCAATGCCTGTTCTGTGTGGTAAGGTTGGTGTTCTTCAGAGAAACAAATGACAGCTCCACAAAAGCAATACTGTATCTGTTCTCAACTGTTGAAACACATGTATGAGGCACCCTGTTCCTGCCTGGTGGAGGGGCCAGGGAATGGTTGGCAAACTGGCTTTGTCTCTTACTCCAAAGTAATACTGTTACTGCTGTGATTTGAGAAGGGGTCGCATTCATCAGCACAGGATAGCCTGGAACTTGCTCTATAGCAAATGCTGGTGTTATAGGTATGTACCATGATGCCCCCCCCCACATACACATAGCTTTTATGTTATGCCAGTTAAACATTAAAAAAAGCCACTTTGGGAAGTTTTATCTGTTACTACAGAAAAGTAAGATAAAATCTTGAGAAGATTGCCCAGAAGGTCCGCAGAAAGTCTTTTTTTGTGTGTGTTGTGTGTGTTGCATGCATGTGAGTATATGGATGTGCATACCTATACACACATGTAGAGGCCAGAGCAGGGCATAGGTTGTCTCTCTGTATTGCTTCTTTCCTTGTTGCCTTGAGTCAGGGTCTCTCACTGGAACTGGAAGCTTGGCATTTGGGGCTAAGTTGCCTGGCCAGGGAGCTCTTGCGAACTGCCTTCTTGGAAACTACCTGTCTCAGTCCTCCAGTGCTGGGGTTATAGGTATACTCAGACATGCTCAGGTTTTTAGTTGGTGCTGTTAGTTCTAACTTGGGTCTTCATGCCTGCAAAACAAGTGTTCTTACCCACTGAGCCAAGACCCCAAGGGTCTTGAGATTTAGAAGCAAGCCTTCTAACAGGGTTGTGACAGCATGATTTGGATGGACCAGGAAGAGCTAGGGAGTAGGGCCACAGTCTGTAGGCCCAGGTGCATCAATCAGAAAGTGTCTTTATGAACATGATACTAAGGCGACTTTGAAGGGAAGAGGGCACAAAACAGTCCATATGACTTCACTGGCTGGCAAAGATTTTTATTTTGTTTGTTTTTGTGTTGTATTGTGTTTTTGTAACAGTGGGACTTGCATGTGTTAGGTGAGCTTACATAGTCCCAGCACTCAGGAGGCAGAGGCAGGCAGATCTCTGTGAGTTCAAGGTCAGCCTGGTCTACACAGCCAGTTCTAGGTCTGCTGGGGCTACAGGGAGACCCTGTCTTCTTTAAAAAAAAAAAAAAAAAAAAAAAGTTTTTAAAAAAATTGTTTATTTTGATACAAGGTTACACTAAGTTGCCCAAATTGGCCCTGAACTCACTCTGTATCCACAGCCCACGCAAACCTTAAACTCATGATTCTCCCACTTCAGCTCCATATAGCTTGGAATACAGGCTCTGTATATGAAGTATAGGGAGGCACTGGCTGTGGAAACTCTTTTCCCTTTTCTCCTGTCAGAATGCCTGCAAACCCTGACAGGTAAAGCATTGAACACCTGTGAGAAAACTGGACGGTGGGTGGAAAGTATGCTTTGAGAGAATGTCTGTTTCCAGAGAAGAACAGAATGAGGCTTGAGGGGAGAAGTAGGCTCTACACACAGGCCCCAAGGAGGCCTGCTCAGTTGATCTGGAGGTCACAAAGGAACCTCGGAGAGGAGGTCAGGGCAGAGCAGATGACTCAGGATCAGCTAGTTTAAACACTCCTTCCGAGGATGGTCTCTAGTTGCCTGGTACCTATCATGGGTGGTTAAGGCAGGGATCTGTTGGCGTGTGTATGATGATTGAACGAGGAAGTAGTTGGCTTACATAAGCTCTTAGCTGTCTCTGAGAATTAGTCCCTGGTTAGCAAGCCTTTTAAAGATGCCAAAACACAGAAAAAATGATTGATACAGCATGGTGTCCTAAGGAATTTTGAGAAACACAGAGGTCAGAGCCTCAGGCCCAGGTAAAGAGTTTGACTCTGGACAGAATATTGAAGCTGTCTGCACATGCTCTAGGGACTCCTTCATAGCCATTCTATGCCTATGCCTACCACTCAGATGCTTTATTTGGGAATTGGAGCCTTAAGTCATATGCTTGCTTTATGAAAAGCAGCATATATTTCCTCCTCCCTTCTACCTAGGGTGTAACGAGCAAGAGATTTTTCAAGATGGTGATTGGATGTTTTTAAGAAATATGATCTAGCCAGGCGTGGTGGTGCATGCCTTTAGGATCTCTGTGAGTTCAAGGCCAGCCTGGTCTGCATAGTGAGTTCCAGGACAGCTGGGGCTACAGGGAGATCCTGTCTCAAAAAGACCAAACAAACAAACAA